TGTCCACACTGTTAGCCTATCCTTATTTACCCTGAGGTCTTACGGCCTTAGGCTCCAGGCGTTCTCACATGTCCACACTGTTAGCCTATCCTTATTTACCCTGAGGTCTTACGGCCTTAGGCACCAGGTTCAGATGCTTAGAAGTGGACCATGTTAGACAGCATTAAAAATCTTTTTCTTCCTTTTTTTTTCTCCTCTCTCCTCCTCTTCCCTGTCCACCTCTCTGGGGATTGAACCCAGAAACTGGGCACCGGTTTCTGGACCTGCCATGATTTCAGTCTTTATCCAAGTCACTCATGTCATAGCAGATGTCCTTCAGTGAACCCAGCCACCCCTCAGCCTATTAAAACATTTTTAATGGAGGTTAGTTTTTGTTGTTGTTTCTTTGTGGTACTGGAGATAGGACCAAGGGCTTTACTCCTGCTGAGTTAACTTGTAATCACAGTTGTGTGTTTATTTCTTTCTTTGAGACATTGTCTTACTAAGTTGCTGGCCTTAGCGCTCTTGTTGCTTAGGCAGAAGTGGTGATCCTCTTGCCCTAACCTACTTAGTGGTTGGATTTATAGGCCTGTACCACCAACCTAAGCTTAAAAATGTTGCCAAGTAGAATACAGTTGGTCAGTTTTATGTAAATAAATATTTCCAATGTATACTTGAGGATTTCCAGGGTTTTTTTTTTAAAGAAACCTATAAAATCGTATAGGATTTTGTTTAGTATTTTAGCATTATAAAAAGAAATATTGTTCATCTTAATGATAAAAGGAAGGGCTAGGATTGAGGAGATGGCTCCATTGCTAAACTAGCTGCCATGCAATAATGAAGACCTGGCTTTGGATCCCCAGCAACTGTGTAAACGCTCCAGGCATATAACCCTAGTGTCAGGGAGTGGGGCAGGGAGCACTGACAGGAAGATCCCTAGAGGTCACTGGCCACCAACTAGCCGAATCTATGAGCTCCAGGTTCAGTGAGAGAGACCTTGTCAAGTAATCAGGGGAAGAGTGACCAAGGACAACAGCATCAACCTCTGGCTTTTATGTGCTCATGCACCTGCTTACCTGTGTGCACACACATAAACTGCACCTACAGGGAAGGCACTATGACTTGGAGTCTCCCTTACATGAGAGAAAGCAAAGATAGAAGTAAATGTTTAGATTGTTTAGAATTATTTTTTCTTTATCTTGGAAGTCCAACTACAAAAACCACTGGACAACCCATAACCCAGATTTATCCTCCCCTCCTCAGTCTCCCAGACACCCTAAACACACAGCTTTTGGAATTAGCGATGAATAAGTTGTCCTTTTCTTACTATCCTTTGTTACTCATTATATAGTCTATTAGGGCTTATTAGTTATTAATAAGTGAACTGTAAATTGGCAATATGAACTTTTTGACACTTGTATTTAATGAATAGTTTACTGTTCTGTTTAGTTAAAAGTATGATAGACAAACTCATACCTAGAAGTTTTTCTATTTTATGTTGTTTTTGCTTTTGGATCTAATGTTTCTACAATTTAATTTTTAATTTTCTCTACTATTTCTTTTAGGGACGTAGATGTGCATTTTGGTTATATAGTGTGGGTTGGGGTGACTAAAATTTAAAGTGTTAGTAAAGCTGATCAGAGTTCTAGCTTATTGAAATCTCTTTTTGATTTTTATAGCTTTTATAATTCTTCAGGTGAAGTAAACGAACACGCACTGAAGAAAATTCTTTCAAATGTCAAAAAGGTATCACCTTTTCTTTATCGGCACTGTTTGCACTGTTTTACACTCCTAAAAACATAGACTTTTACAGAAGCCGTAGTGGTGTTCAGTAGAGCATGTAGGAGACTTACTCTTCCCAGGAAGTTCGGCAGAGGACTTGGGTTCAGTTCCCAGCACCCACATGGAGTCTTAACCAGATGTAAATCTAGTCCCAGGAGATCTGATCTCTTCTGATGCCCTGTGTGAACACATGCATGCACATGGTACACAGACATACAAGCTGGCAGAACACTCATGCATATCTGAAATGGAAAAAAGTACCCATCTTACTATGTCCTTGACTATTTGGATTTACACCGACTTCTGTGGAACATTGTTTAACTACAGCTTTTTCCAGTCTGATTATAATATCTATATCTGTATCTATCTACCTATATTATATTCTAAAACATAATAGAAATATGTTTTTTTATTTTCACATAGCTGCACTCTTTGTTTTGTCTTCTGGTCTCAAAGTGCTGTAGTAAGGGACTGGGACTTCAGGTATATGTCATAGAGCCTGGCTTTGCAGTTATTATTTTATATAAATGCAGATATGTCATACAGCCTGGCTTTGCAGTTATTTTTTTTTAAATATTTATTTATTTATTATGTATACAATATTCTGTCTGTGTGTATGCCTGCAGGCCAGAAGAGGGCACCAGACCCCATTACAGATGGTTGTGAGCCACCATGTGGTTGCTGGGAATTGAACTCAGGACCTTTGGAAGAGCAGGCAATGCTCTTAACCTCTGAGCCATCTCTCCAGCCCCTGCAGTTACTATTTTATATAAATGCAGAGACAGTTACCTATACTGAATTACATTTAAAACCTCTGGGTACTTGATATTCAGATAAAAGTTATTGAACAGTCAGAATGTCCAACTTTTTCCAAGATATGCATTTTGTCTTTAAAATTTTATGTTTGTGAGTATAAAATTAGATTTCTTGAAAAGTTTTGGTTACTGGGGATGTTGGCACACGTCTCTGATTTTAGAATGAAAGTAGATTTAATAATAGAAGTTTCTTTTAGATACTGGGTGTGTACATGTTATGCTAAGTGTATGAAAGCCAAGATGGGAGGATTTCAAGTTTGAGACCCACCTAGGAACCAGTGAGATCCTGACACAGGCTGTGGATGTAGCTCTGGTGATTGCCTGCCTCAATCTTGGATTCAATCCCCTGGCTCTCAAGCACAAGGCCTGGCAATCTGAGATCAGTCTGTGGAAACCATAGATGGTGGGGGGAAGGAGAGAACAATGTGCTGTCCTCTGGTCTCCCCATGGGTAGAACACTTACGTACATACATGTGCGCATGCACACACAAATACATAGTGTAAAAATGTTTTAAAAGGAAATGGTTGGACTTTAAAAAATTATATTTGTTGCTAGCAATAAAAGGCACCTGCTTTTAATCTGGTTGAGTGAGTTCAATCCCTTTGACTCATATGATAGAAAGAGGGAGAGAACTGAGCCTCACAAGCTGTCCTCTGACCACCACACACCATGTCTACTTGTGCGCACACACAGCACAGTCTATACATTTCTTAATTGGATTATTTAGGGAGCATACCTATAGGAACATTTTCCTTTAAAAAGAATGTGTTTTATTTTTGAGACATAGTCTCACTGTGTAGCCCACTATGTCTTTGAACTTGCTATCCTCCTCAGACTCTGAAATGCTGAATTACAGGAGCTATTTCTAATGTCTTAATCTTAATGTACAAATGAATATATACTGGTTATTTTTTATTATAATTACTATAAGGTAATGAGAATTATTTTCTAGTTTAAAACAGTTATTACTGTTAATCATGAATTTTTGTGCATGCTGCAGATTACAAGATCCTTTCAAATGATCTTAAAATAATTTTATTTATTTATTTATTTATTTATTTATTTTTATTTTCTGAACATAGTTTTTCGTTTGCCTGTATGTTTGTGCGAGGGTGTCGGGTCTCATGGAACTGGAGTTGCAGACAATTGTGGCTGCCATGTGGGTGCTGGGAATTGAAACTGGGTCCATTTTGAAGAACACTCAGCACTCTTAACCTCAGAGCCATCTCTCCAGCCGCTATTTATTTATTTTTAAAACTTATTTTATGTTTAATGTTGTAAAGGTGTCAGATCGCCTAGGGACTGGATTTACGTACATTTCTGAGCTGCCATGTGGGTACTGGGAATTGAACCCAGGTTCTCTGGAAGAGCAGTCAGTGTTCTGAACCACTCAGTCATCTCTCCAGCCCTGTTAAGATAATTTGAAACAGCTTAACCTTTATAAACCAAGTGTGTGCATAGGACATGAGTGTGACTACAGGCCTCGATTCCTGTTATGTGAGACAATGACGTGGGTGTTTCCTTCACATAAATTCTTTTTCTAAGAATGATTTATTTTTATTCTATGTACATTGGTGTTTTGCCTGCATTATGTCTGTGTGAGGGTATAGGATCTCCTTGAGGTAGAATTATAGGCAGTTGTAAGATGCCATGTGGGTGCTGGGAATTGGACGCCAGTCCTCTGGAAGAAGAGCCAGTGCTCTTGACCACTGAGCCATCATTCTAACAGAAGATAGTGTGTAACACCCGATTCTGCGTTACCCCCTTGGTACAGTTCGCGTCTCTGTACCTTACACGAGTCCGGGCAAAGGCCTGGAGATTGAAAGAAACACACAAGAGACCTGGGCCATTCAAAAGGAGATCAGCCGAATGCCACTTTATTCAATTTAGGGAAAAACCTATATACCTGGTTGCTACATAAGGATATCCTCCCAGGCAGGTGGGATTTGGCTGCTGCATAAGGATTTCCTCCCAGGCAGGTGGGAAATTACCATACCAAAGATGAAACAATGCCCTTCAGCTAATCACCAGGCTAGGGCAGAGGGAGCACAGGAGCAAGCAGGATGTTAGCTAGCTGACCAGGAATTGTCCTCAAGATGCACCCCAAGGAGCAAGGGTAGACCGGGCCCTACAATAGTGAATATAAGATAGCAAATGTTTTACTTTGTTGTTTATGCAGAGTATGAACTGGGGATGTAGCTCCATTAGTACAGTACTTATGTAAACTTACTTAAAAGTACTTATGTAAACTTATTTTAAAAATGTTGAGCACATAGCACATACATATAATCCCAGTACTAGAGAAGGAAGCAGGAGAACCAGAGTTCAGGGTCATCCCTGTCTACATATGGAGCTTGGGGCCAGCCTGGGGTACATAAGACCCAGTCTACAAAAAAACCAGTCGAGTCAAGAAGTTTTTTGGGGGGCGGGGTGGTCTTGGTGGGGTTTTTTTGTTTTGTTTTTCGTTGTTGTTGTTCTTTTGGTTTTCAAGACAGGGTTTCTTCTCTGTGTAGCCCTGGCTGTACTGGGATCAAAGGTGTGTGCCACCACTCCCTGGCAAGGAGGTTCTTGTTTTGTCTTTCCTGCATTAAATGTGTTGGGTCTTTTTTTTTCCTTTATGCTAAATATAAAGTAACTATGTCAGTTTGTTTACTTTACAAAATTAAAGTTTATAACTAAGTATATTCTTGACTTATTTTATGTATAACCCAAACTTTACCAACAGTTGGAAAAGCCATTTTAAGTCCTGTAGGTTTTGCCAGGCTTAGTGGTGATATCTTTAATCCCAGTTTAGGCAGGCCTGGTTTACAGAGCGAGTTCTAGGACAGCCAGGGCTACACAGAGAAACACTGCTTCCATAAAACAAAAAGGCTGTGGCAGGGTTTTTGTTTAGTTTTGTTTGTTGTGTGCCCAGGCTAACCGCAGTCCCGTGTGTGCTGGAGCCACTGGGTACAACTGCAGCTACTGCTTAAGACCATGGTTTCATTGCTAAGCTGCAGGAAGACATGTAGTTATTGTAACCAACATACATTAATTTCCTGTATTCTCCCCAGACAGTGGTTGGCTGGTACAAATTCCGTCGTCACTCGGATCAGACAATGACGTTTAGAGAGCAGTTGTTGCACAGAAACTTACAGATGCATCTTTCAAGCCCAGAGCTTGTTTTTCTGCTGTTGACACCAAGTATAACAACAGAAAGCTGCTCCACTCACTGCCTGGAACACGCCTTATATAAACCTCAAAAGGGGTAAGCATTGGTTGGTCCTGACTATTTTAAGCTAAATTTTTAAATTTTTTTGTAGTGTTTTGTGGCTCTAAGTGTTTTCATATAGTGTTGCATAAGGTGTCACAGTAACAACAAAGTAAGTCTTACTATTAGTAATATGTGAGAAAACAAAGGCTAGGCAAGGAAGTGGAAGCCAGGGTGCAGTGATGGTTTGGACGTCTGTGCTGGGACTGGAGGTGTCGTTGTCGTATGGACGTAGTGTGGACTGGTACAGCTTCTTGAGAGACAGCACTTCTTGCTGGCTTGCCACAGTGAGCTCAAACAGTCTGCTTGGGTATTATAAACTACATTCTCTGGGAATATAAGAATTAAGTTAAGCTGGGCGGTGGTGGCACACACCTTTAATCCCAACACTCAGGAGGCAGAGGCAGGTGGATCTCTGTGAATTTGAGGCCAGTCTGGTCTATAAAGAGAGCCCCAGGACAGACTCCAAAGCCACAGAGAAACCCTGTCTTGAAAAACCAAAAAAAAAAAAAAAAAAAAAAAAAAAAGAAAAAGAAAAAGAAAAGAAATGGGTAGATGAGCCCGTCTAGCTTTGAACCTACAGTCTTAGCATTTCCAGACAATTTCTGTGTGACAGTGTTTAGAAGCATTCACATTTTACTGTCTATGGTGATGCAACCTTATAGTCCAAGTAAGTGAAGCAGGAGGACTGAGAGTTTGAGTCAGTTTAGGTTACATAATAAGATCCTATCTCACATTTCAAACTTTGGACTAGGGATGTTAACCTGCTCTGCCATTTTGGTGAGCTGAGGAGACACAGAGGCACAGTGCGAGATTGACACCAGGCAGGCAGGCAGGCAGGCATGATGGTGAATCTCCATAATCCCTGTGCTCCAGTGAGATTAGGATTATGAGTTCAAGGTTATGTTCAGCTACATAGAGCTTGAAAGGAAGTTGAACTACTTAAAACAGTGAATAAAAAAAAGAAAAAAGACCAGCAAAATGACCCAGCTGGTCCCACAAGCCTGAAGACCTGGGTTCTATCCCAGAACCTTCATTAGAGGAAAAGAACCAACTTCTGACACTGTTCTCTGAACACACGGACATTATAAACATACATACAATCATACATCGTCACCTGTGTTGCCTCCCATGGCCTTTCAGCTCACCGTTCTCCTCAGCTTCAGTCCCTTATTTTCATGCTCACGAACAGGTGAGATGGCCATTAAACTAAGTCCATGCAGCTTTTTTTTTTTTTTTAAAGATTTATTATGTGTACAGCATTCTTTCCATGTGTGCCCACATGCCAGAAGGGGGCGCCAGGTGGCTGTGAGCCACCATGTGGTTGCTGGGAATTGAACTCAGGACGTCTAGAAGAACAGTCAGTGCTCTTAACCACTGAGCCATCTCTCCAGCCCCCATGCAGCTTATGTATGTATGTACGTATGTATGTTGTATGTATGTATGTTATATGTATGCTGTGTACATCTTGACTTTTTGTTTTGTTTTTTGAGAAAGGGTTTCTCTGTGCAGCCCTGATTGTCCTGGAACTCCCTCTGTAGACCTCATCAGCCTTTAACGCTACTTCTGAGTGACCGTTTTTAGAAGCTAGGTGCTTCAGGAGCTGGAGAGGGCTCAGCAGTTAAGAACACTGCTCTCCAGAGGACTCCAGTTCCCACATGGCCGCTCATAACCAACCACCTGTAGCTCCAGTTCAGGCAGATGGACACTTTTCTGGCCTCCGAGGACACTAGTGGCACGTGGATATACATGTGGGCAAAACATCCATACACCTAATATTAAAAAACAAAAATCTAGTTGCTTCAACTTAGCTCATCTGGGAAAATTCTATCTTGCTAACTAATGATGGGGCTGTTTTTACTGACACTGTTGGGACAACGGCCTGCTCTGATGGCAGGTGTTGTCTTTCTGTTTTAAATCCTGTTTTAAACTTTCCCCTCAGGCTTTTTCATAGGGTGCCTTTGGTGGTTGCCAATTTGGGAATGTCCGATCAACTGGGTTATAAAACAGAATCTGCTTCCTGTACATCCCCTGGCTTTAGCAGAGCCGTGAGAACACACAGGTGAGTTTCATCCAGGCAGTAGATACTAAGGGAACCCTGTGGAACTGGAGGATTCCCCTTTCCTTCCATAGTTCTATACTCTTACTCAAGGAAATCATCTTTGCTTTCACAGTTCTCAGTTTTTTAATGAAGATGGATCGCTAAAGGAGGTGCATAAGATAAATGAAATGTACGCTGCGATACAAGAGGAATTAAAGGTAACTACTTCTGGACCACTCCAGAGTTCGTTCACGTCAGTAGACTGCATGAATTGTTTCCTAGAAAAGCTAACATTTTTTGAGTATATGTTGTATTCCTTTGACTTCCATAATAGAGACTCTGGGGATGGGATGCAAGCTTAAGTTTGCTCTCATTATACATGGTTATAGCTATTTCTTTTCTTCTTTTTCTTTCAAAAATGATCTCACTATAGAGCCCTGGCTGTTCTGGGACTTACTATGTAGTAGGCCAAGCAGTCCTTGAATTTACAGAGATTCTCCTGTCTCTGTCCTCCAAATGCTGGGATTAAAGGCATGTGCCATGAGGCCCAGCCCCCGTAGTCTTCTTGAAGATGAAGAAGGATGCAGATTTAGAAGCACAACCATCACTACAGTATTATAGTCTTACGGCATCAGTGTAGGTCACTGTAGAGTCATAAGATGGATCCCAAGTGCAAGAGAGTCATTGGAGCAGTGTAAAATCAGAGGGGATTGAGGACTGTAGCAGAATCTGACCCCAGAGAGATGAAGAGAATGGCTGGTCAGAAGGAGCCTCAGGTTGTACCGTTCTATGAGAGTTTACCTGAGCATAGCCCTGACCCGGGATCCTGCTCTACCTTAGCATGATGATTACAGGAAGGCATCACTGTGCCTGCCTTTCTTAAAGGAAGAAAAAAGTTAAATCCTTAATTGAACAAAGTGACCCAGAATTATTACCTATTGTTCCAAAGGCATGCACTAACGTCCTCACCATGCTCCGTCACTGCTGGGACAGTCCTTAGGGAGTACTGCTTAAAGCAAGCACTGCAGGGCGAAGGATGTAGCTCAGCTGGCAGAACACTTGCCTAGAAGTCAGAGCTCCGAGTTTGATCCCCAGCACTACAATGGTGTACATCTGTAATTGCAGAACTGGGGAGGTAAAGGCGGGAAGATCTTCAGGGTCATCCTTGGCTGCATACTAAGTCTGAGGCCAGCCTGGAACACACACGAGGCTTTCTCTAATAAATCACAAAATCACGAGTCCAAAATTGGAACATCGGTCAGTTGTTTTTCTCAATTGGATATCTAAAATCTATTTTTATGGTAGCCATACTTGTTAGTAGAACATAGTAAGGGGAAAAAAGGTTAACACACTTCGTACACTACTGACATATATATGTTTTTTGAGACAAGGTTTCTCTGTGTAACAGCCCTGGCTGTTCTGGAACTAGCTCTGTAGACCAGGCTGCCTCAAACTCAGAGATCCCCGTCTCTGTTTCCCGACCGCTGGGATTAAAAGCGTGCGCCACCACTACCTGGCTATACCAATTTTTAAAGATTTACTTATTTTGATGTGATTCATTTTTTTTCCTTCATGTCTTTGTGTACAGTGTGTGTCCAGTGCCCTTGGAGACCTGCAGAGAGCATTTGTTCCCCTATATCTAGAGTTACAAAGAGTTATGAGCTGCCATGTGGGTGTTAGAAACCTAACTCAGGCACTCTTAATTGCTGAGTCATCTCTCTGATCCCCTACATACTAGTTTATTTAGTGAATAAATAACACAGAAACTTTGAAAATAGCTCTGAGAATGTCACCATTTCCCCTTTATTAAAAATAAAAATTTCTCTCATATCCTGATTATAGTTTCCCCTCATCTTACTCATCCCAGTACCTCCTTATCTCCCCTTCCATCCAAATCTACTCCCTTTTTGTCTCATTAGAAAACAAACAGGCAAGCCTTGGTGTCACGCATCCTCAATGTCAGCATTTGGGAGGCAGATGCAGGCAGTTATCAGAATTCAAGGCCATCCTTGAAGTTCTAGGTCAATTGGCAGGCTTCTAAAGGATAATAAAATATAATAAAACAATAACACATCAGAGTTGGACAAAAAAAACAGAAGGAAATGGGCCCAAGAGAAGAAACAAGAAAGAGAAACCCCACTCATTCTCACACTGAGGAATCCCATAAACACACCAAAGTGGAAGCAGTAATATTTATGCAGAGGAGCTAGCACACCCGGGCGGGCCCAGGCCCTCTGTATGCTGCCTCTGAGTTCACACGAGCTTTGATCCCGCTGATTCAGAGGACTTGTGTTCTTGGTGTCCTCCATCCCTCTGACTCTGACATTCTTTACTGCCTCCTCCACAGGCTCCCTGGGGAGGGATTTGATAGACTTCTCATTAGCGGCTGGGTGCTCCAAGGTTTCTCACTATGCATAATGTCTGACTGAGTCTCCTATTCCCTTCTGCTGCAGGAAGAAGCCAAGTGGCTTTGTGTTTGTCTGTTGACAGGGTCTCACTGTGTAGCCATGGCTAGCCTGGAACTAAGTGGATCAGGCTGGACTAGAAGTCCCCTCCTTTGCATCCTAGGTGCTTGGGTTAAAGGCATTTGCTATCATGCCCAGCCAAGAATGTCACCATTTTCAAGTGATTATTTTTATTTTGCCATTTTTCAAGTTTTTCCCCAACACACAAATACTTGGACATACTTGACAGTGACGACAACAGAATTTGTATTGATTTTTTTTTCTTCAAAATGTATCATTAAACATTTTCACTTTGCCACACAATCTTTTATTTTTATTTTAATGGAGTATGTTTTTAAATTCTAAATCGACAGGTAAAACTGTCACATAAAGCCACGTGTAATGCACACCTGCCACTCTAGCACTGTGGAGGTGGAAGCCAGAGGATCAGGAGTTCAATGTCATCCTCAGCAACACAGTAAGTTTGAGGCTGGCCTGGGCTACATGAGACCCTGTCTGTAAGAAAGGGGAAACGTGTGTGTGTGTGTGTGTGTGTGTGTGTGTGTGTGTGTGTGTGTGTG